TTTTGATCACAAAGACCTAGGAAATCACCTCCTGCAGTTATGCCCTAAAGTCGTGAAACACCCTGTATAGTCTAAGTAGTATGTGAAGTTCTCACAGCGGTGGTTATGAAGAGTATTATCGCCTGGAATATAACTCCGTGTAAACATGCTCACTGCACGTTCTTTCAGAACTAATCGAAGACGATTTTCGCCCTACTTGTTTCCCAAGCAATGGTGAAGTGCTGCTGCCGAGTTGCACGGACCCACAACATAAACGCAAGAAAATAGCCAATAAATTTACGGGAGATGAGAAAAATCGTCCCAAAACTTGTAAATGTTTTTCAGTAAAAATTTTACTTGCGAGTCACGAAAATATTTGGTGACTACATAAAAAACTTCTAGAGGACCCACTTGAGAATCTTTGATATTGACTCACTCATGGAGCTGAGTCCTTCTTGAGAAACTGCTAATTGTGCAGCCACTCACGAACTTCTCAGCATTTTATGGAACCCGAAGGTTCATTACCTTGTTCACCAGAGCCCTCCAGCGGTCCCTACCCTGAGCCAGATCAATCCAATCCATACCATCCCATCCTATCCCTCTGAGATCCATTTTAATATTGTCCACCCACCTACGCCTTGGTCTTCCCAATGGTCTCCTTCCTTCCTGCTTTCCCACGAATATAAAATATGCATTTCTCCTCTCCCCCATTCGTGTTACATGACCTGCCCGACACATTCTCCTTGACTTGATCATTCTAATTATACTTGGAGAAGCGTACAGACATCTCCGTTAAATACAATAAAAAATAAACTACGTGATAGTATAGGAATAATAGGGGAGGGCCCTGTATCTTTCATCAAGTTTCAGCAATGTGTGTCAAAGGAATAAAACAAATATAGTATGCTGCATAAAATTTCATGTATTAGTGCTCTCGTGGTCTGAAAAGTGTTTAAGGGCAGTTATATGTGATAAACTGACCCATTACAGTCAGGAGACAACGGCAACAAGTCTAACTCACATTCAATGTATGTTTTTCAGACTGGACCTAAGGCTGGCTATTTTGACTTACGGGAGTGGGGCTTTCCTCAATTCTTTCAAACGCCTTATCTAATATAAGATGTTCTCATGCTTACATTCATCACACGCTTCAATGTATTTAGTCTATTTGGAAGACGGGTATGTACGTGTATATTTCGAAGTAACCGTGGTCCAGAGAAGTAAAATTCTGCAATTCAGAACTTATTAAATAGCTATCAAGTATTGCCAATGACTGGATGTATCTTACAGAGAGGACTTCAGAACTGGATTATTAATCGGATAAAGGTAAATTAATAGGAAAACTAGGTGACCTTTAGTCTGCGAGCGAAGTATACTAATCGAGCGACCGCCGCTTGTCGGCGAAGTTCGTGCCATCTTTTGCGAATAGAGGGTGTGGCGTGGTCTGCGCAACGAATCCCCAAGGCCGTTAATTTCGGTTTTCTAGACCGGAGCCGCTACTTTTCCTTTCACGTAGCTCCTCAATTATCCTCATGAGGCTGAGTGGACCCCGATCCGGACCCAATACTTCTCAGGAAATCGGGTAGCACCGGGAATCAAACCCGGGGTCTCTGGATCTGTCGCCATGAACACTGACCACTAGACCACAGAGGAGGTCAGAAAGGTAAATTACTTCCAAAATTAACTTGGATAAATGTAAAGGTGAGGATCTCTCGGTGTTTAATTAATTACATACCACGTCATGAAGACGTATGGGGAAATGGAATTATAACTCCAAGCATTATATAACTCATGCAGTATATGGAACTAAGTGGCCACCTTCAAGTCTTGGTCACTTACTCAGGACCGTCTTTAATGCAACTTAAAACTGTTCACAATCTCTCTTTAATTTAAAATAACATTAAAATTACATCAACTGCTACATGTTTCGGTCTTACTTGGCCATCTTCAGGCAACTGTTCAGTTTGAAAACAGTCACATTGGACTAGATCTTAAGTCAAAATATATTTCCATACTGTTGCAGTATCGTTGTTCACACTAAAATATGTTTCTCTGAGAACAAAATTCTCTCTACGTTCCGCGTGATTTTCCTTTTGCGGCGTCCATGTTTGTCCCCCTTCGTACGTATGTTCTCACTAGTTGGGCGTATGTCCCTTTCCCCCGGAGTAAGAACCCCATCGGATTGGTGGCTGGGTGGATCTCAGGGCTGGTCTGGACGCTACAGAGAGGCGAAAATATTTTACTCCTGCCGGAGAACGAACCCCAGCCGCATTATTAGATAAATTAATTTCATAGCGGGCCAAATGAAAGGACCTGCGACCCACTAGTCTGGGTGAAGTGTCTTCTGCTCTGCTCGGAGCTCAAATGTCCTTAGCTCTCGTCGAATACCCAAGTCCAAGTCCAAGTCACATGGCGACTGACGGTCTGCCAGTCAGTAAGTCTTGGTGTCGAGCCCCGGCTGGGGCTCATGACCAGATATTTATTAGCGTTTGACATTTACGGTCTTGTTTCTGTGGGGCGCCCTCTCTGACGAGAGGAAGGGTCTGCCTTTTGTATACGCTGCTGGGCCTTGCCAATGCAGTCTTTCTAGGGTCTGAGTCCCTTGGGACTCGAGACCATATTTTACTGTCTCAGATTTGAGACTTCCCTTTTCGTCGCCTCTTACGACTCGCAGGTTCACGGTGGAGGTATTCGACCCCGCCTCCACACGGGCATCTCTCGTCGAATACGAACTAACTTGTGGCTGTTATATCCTGCACTCAGGCTGAATAGGAACACCTTGTCGAAGGGTTTAGTTTCGCCCTCTGCTATGCAAAGGGGTCTCTTGTTGCCGCGGGAATACATTTTTACTGCTTCAAACAATTCGTTGCTTAGATATTACTAGCCAAGTGTTAGGTTGTGGTGTTCTTCAAGCGGTTGCCTACGTTGTCCGTTGCGTAGCGATGGATGTCTTAGACTCCCTGCACGCGCGGCGGGGTGACGTAGCGTTACCGGCGTGCGGTTGAGAAGTACCAATATCTATATAAACCACTTCACACGGAGCTACGACAACGGTGTGGTGACGTGCGGTGGGTCTGCGTCAAGTTTATGTGACGCAGGTACTGCTCAAACGCAGCTGCGGTATAATGACGTTGCGTAGCAGCAATACCTACAGATGAGTTGTGCACTTCACAAGGACGTCACGTCACGGAAAGAATGGCTGACGGTTTTGATACGGAATTGCTTATAGAAGCGGTGAAGAATTTTAAAGAAATTTGGGACACGAAATGTGAACTCTACCACGATAAAAATGTGAAAAGAGCAGCGTGGATGAAGATTTGTGAAATATTTTAACCCATTTTCGAAGAAAAATCCCCAAAAGAAAAAGAAGAAATTGGTAAGTACAGCGTATTTAGTTTCAATAACAGCTTAGCTTATTTTCTTCACTGAATTCTTGTACGTCAGACTGCTACGATAAACTATCGTGTGGTTTCACTAAGACAGGTTCTGTTTTGTGTCAGATTTGGTGTAAAACTGTTATTTATCTTATATTTTAGTTATTTTTCATTCGTTGTTTTATCTAACAAACATGAACAAAGAAGTAAAAATCAATGGACGTAGTTAGTAACAATTTAAATTTACTTGACCTCTGAAAGGGGAAGACAATTTATGAAAACGCCTGTTCCAGTCGAGACAGAGAAGACTTCAAATCCCAATTTGGCATTTTTTGAGTCATTGCTACCAGCGTTAGGAAGTTTCACAATTGATGACAAACTGGAGTTCCAAACTGAAGTCTTGAACGTTGTTAAAATGATTAGTTTTCTGCATCCTTCCTCTCACTACCCTTGCAAATCTCCCTCCAATGCTCGCTACACAAATGCCCCCAGTTCTTTTCCACAAATGCAGCAGTACTCATCTTTCCCTGACTATCCAACCAGCACATTTCCGCAGCGTACACATCCAGAACCCTCAGCGTCTTCCATAACTTTCCAAAACATACAGTCATCTCCAGCTGCAGAATCCCTTACTGAACCTCAGGCCGAGCTATCTGGCGCTCTTGCTTCCACAAATTCATGCATCAGTGAAGAATCATTTGAGATGTTTCCTAACAGTAAATGTGTATTTTTTGTAAAAAAGAAAAGACGATAATTCAATAAACTATTAATCTTCAAAACAACTGAACCTGTTATTCAAATTAATAATCCTTTTGCCACAATGTTTCCTTCTTTTAGATAACCGAACTAAATCTGTACGTACCTCACTGTTACAGGTAACATTTCAAGCGGGCCAATAGCGAGTCTTATATTGGTGTCCTGGGAACCTATACTGTCTGCAGTTCTTCCAGCTAGCTCGTCAAACGATCTTTTGCTCATCCGAAAGTATTCAAAAAATTTTGTTTCATCATTACTAACATCTACGTAGAGCGAAGAAAGTGCTCCTTTTAGCAGTCGGGAGCTCAGCAATGGGTGCACCCAGAACCTTCGGTCTGCAGACTGCAAATACTTATACACTAAACATGAGAACACCCCTCTTTTCTTCCTATATGACACCTTCATGGCGCTCATACTACTACTGCTAACTGCTTACTTTCTATGACAGACCACCACATGGTGCGTCACCGCGCCGCTCGTGTGCAGGGAGCCTTACAGTCCAGCTTTCAGGCAGCATGTCACAGTATTTACATCAATACAACATTTTGGTCCCCTAGTTCCAGTAATTATATCCATGAAAATGCAAAACACGATTCTCGTGTGACCGCCATGTTCTTCCCTGCTACGAGTATGTTATATCAAAATTGGATGTCCTAGCATGGATAAGCTGAAGCTTCCGGCTCCAATTTCAGAAATCCGCACAACCGCCATGCTGTTAATACTGAACTACAGAGATGTGGCGGCTTCCAGTGACATGATATTGATATCAAGTTTCGTGAAACTCCATCCTACATTTTGGAATTTAACAGTGGGGAATCAGACTACGAAGAGGATGGCACCTGTAGCCTATGTTTCCAAAAAATCAAATACTCGTATAACCATGAAGCTCACCTTGATGAGGCTGGCTGCGATGCTGGAGCATGGGGAGACCACGGTCTTGAGACAGCGGTCGTGCACCACGAAGTTACACACTGCAACACACAACACAGCCATCACTGAAGGAAGCAACGGCTGCACTCAAAACTATCAGCTAAATTCCATATACACTATAATCTGAATGCTGTTTTATGGGTATGAAAGGTTTCTTATTTTAGAGAACTTGATTTACAAGTGTTTTGAAACAATGAAAATATCTTGACCTAACAACGATCAAAGAAGTGGACAACTGAGGATGGTACTTAATGAACGACGCGGGTTAACAGGTCATATCTCATTCTTGGCAAATTTCAGGAGGTTACATGACCTAGGTGAGGTAAGGCAAGCATGCAGAATAATGTCATTAATGGCCTCTTCCATGCACCTAACAAACTATTGCATAAATTCCGCTGAAATTCTTTGGGTCATTTTTCACTAAGCCCGAACGGTAGCCGAGCAGCCTACGGCGGGAATAGTCTTCGTTCGCTCGGAAGTCGGGACCGTGAGTTCGAATCCCACACAAGGCATCGATGTTTGGTATGTCTGTTCTGTGTCTATTCTGGGGTCGACTCAGCCTCTAACAGATGTGAGAACCAGGAATCATCCTGGGTCGTAAAGGGCGGCTGGCGCGCAAGGCTGACAATCTTACCATCATATGTAAGCCGATTATCTGGAGAAAATGTGGTAGCCTCGACGTCTCACAATCTTAAAGGCCGTCAGGGCATGTTACAGGGACAGTTTTACCTTTTACGTGACAGAGCACACCATATCCCCCTTTCTGTGAGTGAATGACTCCTCGTGAATGGCACGAGGTTTTGCAGCAGCCCACGCACGCGTATTTTAGGTTAATGTATTCTAACAGGTGAAACGAAGCTTCATCGAAAACCACGTCATGTCTAAGATGTCGGTGGCTTTGGACAACAGATGCATGAAACTGCTGACAATAGGCTACTCTTTTCTGCTTGTCAGAAGGTTGGAGTTCCTGGACTACAGAAACACGGTCCGCGTGAATCCTTCCTTTCCTTAACAGGACGAACAGGACATGATAGTCTCCCGCAACAGGCGAAGAGAGGCATCGCCGCCCCACGTCCTACACAGTTCTACCTGTCATAGCAGACGAACTCCTACGTATAGAACAGGCAAGGTTCCTTTAGTCTCCAGTTTTCGGACCATCTTCTGTATAACGCCTCTGAGGATAGTGACATACTGCAAAAGTTTCTGAAAGCCGCTAAACCAGCCCTGTCCAAAGCGGCGCGCACGATATATTTTTCTGGCGCCCTCCGTAAGCACACATAATTGAGCCGATTTTTAATATGAATTCAAATTGTAAGATAAGAGACATTTTTGAACGTCTGAGTACTGTTAAATATTTTCACAAAATTTCCTTGAAGCATGGTACAGTATTAAACATTCCTTGAAAATGTATGCCTAGTTCTTTTCCCCCTTGCTAACAACACCAGTCTTAATTCTTTTTTTCACTAGAGAAAGTCCTCTCAAGATCAGGTATTTTTCCCTAGCGGTATTTTTTACCCCCTAAAACAGCAGTAAGTCCCCACTGAATCGGCTTTCATGGATTTCGGATTTATGGTGAGGGTATCATAAAATTTTCTGTGATCGGCAGGGCAAACATATTCACCGACACGAACATGACTATGGGGCCCAGCTTACCGTAATTTCCCGAATTTCTAAACTCATCGGAAATATGAATCAAAGTTACTTTAATCCCAACAAAGCGATGCCGCAAACAATAAGAATTTATTAGAGGGTCGTACACTAATGGAAATTGGTAGTAGCTATATTTCCCAGTTCGCTTTCTTCAGCCAAACATTCAGTATTACTTGCGAGTTTGTGACAACCATAGTTCAGTTATGTGTATTGTGTTGTGACAAGTTGCACAGTTATCAGTGTATTTTAGTTATTGTGCTTCAAATTATTGAGCAAATAAGCAGTACTGTTTTATATAGCTATTCTTGATATGGCTAAAAGACAAAGAAGTTATAGTTTTAACAGTGAATGGGAGGAGCAGTATTGTTTTACTGAATACAGAGGAAAACCTGTGTGTTTATTGTGTAATAGTAGCGTTTCTGTTCCTAAAAAAAGTAATGCAGAGCGACATTTGTTGACTAACCACAAAACCTTTAACAATGAATTTCCTGTGAAATCTGAACTAAGAAAACAAAAGGTGAAAGACCTAAAATCTAAATTAACCTTGCAACATGTGTATTTACAAAGCCTATCCAGCAAAGTAGTAACGGAACAATAGCTTCTTATAAAATCTGTCATGTGCTACCTAAAAGGAAAAAACCTTTTAGTGATGGGGAAATAGTTAAAGAAGCTATGTTCAGTGCCGGCGAGTCTCTGTTCGATGGTCACAAAGATAAATCTGCACTTATGTCTTCCATCAAAAGACTTCAGTTGTCTCACCAAACTGTTGCTAGACGAGTTGAACAGATTTCTGATAATCGGGAATCTCAAATACATCAGGATTTGCAATCGTGTGAATATTTTTCGCTCCAGCTTGACGAAAGCACTGATATATCGGATGTTGCACAATTATGTGTATTTGTTAGAATGGTTTTTGGCGATTTCACGGTAAAGGAAGAGTTCGTTAAACTGCTGCCTCTTCATGAACGTACTAAGGGAGAAGACATATTTAATGTGTTCCTTAAATTTGTGAAAGAATATAACTTACCACTTTCTAAACTTGTTGCTATAACTACAGATGGGGCGCCTTCAATTGCTGGTAGGAACAATGGGTTTCTTGCTCTTTGTGCTAAGGATGAATCATTTCCCAGTGTTCTTTCTTATCACTGCATTATCCACCAGGAAGCTTTATGCGCAAAGCTTTTGAAGTTCGACCATGTTATGAATGTGGTAACTCGTGTGGTAAATTATATCAGATCGTCTTCTTCTCGTCATTGATTATTCAGAAATCTTTTGAAAGTGTCGGACACTGAGCATGGTGACATAATTTTCCATGCAGACATAAGATGGCTTAGTAGGGGGAAAACACTGGAACGATTTTGCTGTCTTCTGGATGAGGTCAGGGACTTTCTGAAATCATGTCCTGGCCAATATTATCAAGAACTTGATCAAATATCATGGCTACTAGAATTAGCTTATTTGACAGATATCACCTCAAAATTAATTGAGTTAAATCTTGAATTACAAGGGAAAGTTTGTAACATTTCAGGCATGATAAGTGTAGTTAATGCTTTTCAAAAGAAACTAAAGCTATGGATGCACATTTAAACAGAAATTCCTTCTCACATTTTCCGCATATGAAATCTGTTTTGGAAACCTTAAATGGCTGTGAATACGATCTTCCATCTTTTGCCCTGCATCTTGAAGCCCTTATGACTGAATCTGGTAACAGATTTAGCCAGTTTTCAACACCTGAACCAGTGACAATGTATATCAGTAATCCATTCGCTACTGTTGACGTTAGTGAACTTGGAGGGGAGGTGTGTGAAATCTTCGGAAAGTATAATCTTGAAGAATCAGAAATGGAAATTTTAAATTTCCAAGAAGACATATCTTTGAAATCCTCATTTGCAACTTGTAGCAATTTCTGGACCCTGGTGGACAGGAATAAATATCCCATGATTCATAGCATTGCTCTGAAAATTTATTCTTGCTTTGGTTCGACGTATCCGTGAGAAGTCGCATTTTCATCTATGAGCATCACCAAAAATAAGTACCGATCCTGCCTAACAGACTCACACTTAGATGATGCACTAAGAGCAGTCTGTTCCAGCTACACACCAGCTAACATGCAGTGTCAAATTATGTAAGATTCTAAGTAAATATAATTATATTAACAAAAGATTTAGTCAGTATTAAATTTCTAACTATTTTATTATTATTGTTGTTGTTTTTTATTAGTAGTAGTAGTAGTAGTAGCAGTAGTAGCAGTAGTAGTAGTAGTAGTAGTAGCAGTAGTAGCAGTAGTAGTAGTAGTAGTAGTAGCAGTAGTAGCAGTAGTAGTAGTAGTAGTAGTGTGGTGGTGCCCGCACCTCCATAGGCATCAGTGAATTGTGCCCGAGTACATAACAATGTTGGACGGCACTGCGCTAAACACTATTTGCATGACCCTGTAGCCCCGCAGAAACGCAATAGAAAAACATGGTCCTCAATTAAGATCTAAAAGTTTGTGACGATGGTACATTCCTACAGGTATTATGTTTTTAGATATTATCCATCGTCTTGTCTATTTGTTTTAAAAAACGTCCTGCTCTATCTACTGGACACAACTGAGTAGGTTTTACCTGAGGACGGGGACAGAATCCAGTCTCCGAAACGTTGTTTTAAAAAAGAAACAGGACGGTTTTTAAACAGACAAGACGATGGATAATGTCCAAAACATAATACCTGTAGTACGGTCCTCAATCATACGAGTATACGTAATCCCACTAAGCATCACGCAGAATCACCAACTGAAGACACTCGCACGAACCGGGCAGGAAGGCACCGGGTCGGTGTTGTAAATAACTCAGTACTGCCCAGTTTAGTTTTCATCGGTGAACAACTGCGTGATTTATTATTAATAATGTGGGGCATCCTCATTTCTTCCCATAACTTCCCCTTTTCGCCTGCATTTCTACTATTCTCTCTTACCTCCCCTCCCGCCCAGTAACATGATGGTTTCCAAGTTCCAAATTCCTATCACATGCCTGTCATACCGTTTCCAATTAAAATTCTTAAAAATCAAACCCCTCGCTCTGAGCCTAAAATTACATTTCCAAACCATGAAATTCGCCAACAATCACGAAACATAATTCTAGAGGCCTATCTACAACGGTTCACAAAACTTACTTCCTAACGTAAATGAATAAATTATTTATTTGAACACCCAGGCTAGTGAGCACTTCACATGGCTTGGATAACTTCCATGGAAAAAAAAAAAATGACGCAGTCTGCTTTTCTGGACCTGGCGGCTTCAAAGGGAATACGCAGCAGACTTAGTCCACAAACAGGACTGTAAGTACGTTAGCCTGGCCTCTAGTTACAATTCATCAACTCCCTTCACAAAATGCAGACGCAACCACTGTCCTGT